CTGGGAATCAGACTCAGGGTCTTGGGTACTCGAGGTAAGTGATCTGTACTGAGTCGCACCCATAACCTAAGCTCTAGTTCTTTTTATTCGTCCCTCTGAGCACCCCATGAATTCTGTTGTCATAGATACAGATGATGTTTTAGATGGAGACTGTTTGGCTCGGGTTGGGCTTGAAACTCTTGGGTTCAAACATCTTCAGGCTGGAGCCTCTGAGGAACAAAGGGTCCTCAGCACAAAACAAACAAACAAACAAGCAAACAAACAAACAGAACCCCTCTTGGTGTTTGGGAAACTAAGGATTTTTGATGTTTTGTGGCAACGTTGGGGTTCAGGACAAACACACCACCCCAGAATATGATTTCAGGAGAGGAGGATTCGCCACCCCTAATAGGCTCCCTTTGTGCCGTTCTGAGAAGCCCTGGGCACAGAAGTAGCTCTCAAAAGATGTCCCTTCGTAGGAGACATTCAGGAAGAAACCTCTGTTAGGAAAACTGCTTGCCTCAGGAAGAGGAGGGCTCCAGATAACCGGCGTCACCAGAAAGATTTTCATCTGGCACAGGACAGTGTCTCTTCCCCCTTTGAGAACGTGTGTGTCCTGCACTCTGCTGCACCGAGTCCTCTCTGTTCTCTGCTTTCTATGGAAGCCTTCGTCAGCTGAAGGACTTCCATACTTAGCTTTGCCTGTCTTATGTTGGTTTAAATTGTAGCCCAGGTAAAGAACCCAGAACAAGTACTATGTGGTAATGGAAAACATAATCCTTTGTATCCATTGCCAGCTCCTGCCTCTTGAACTCAGCCTGGCTAGCTGTGAGCTTCGTGGAGCCTGCTCTTACCTCACCTCAGAGAGAAGCCAGAGCAGGAGCAACCTAATTATCTGTGCCGCTTGTCGTGAATGCCCTTGGCCTATCTTCTGGCCCCTGAGCTAAGACCTTTGCTGGAGCTTGGGGCTCTAGTTTCTGAGTGCAGGGACAGAGATGTGGAAGGCTCTTTGTTTTGTTTTGTTTTGTTTTGTTTTGTTTTTCGAGACAGGGTTTCTCTGTGTAGTTTTGGAGCCTGTCCTGGATCTCACTCTGTAGACCAGGCTGGCCTCGAACTCACAGAGATCCCCCTGCTCTGCCTCCCCAAGTGCTGGGTTTAAAGGTCTGCGCCACCGCCGCCTGGCATGGAAGGCTTTTTTACCTTGTCTACCTGGAGCTGCTTGTGGGCTTGGGTTGGTAGGTGCCCTGATTGGTCTAAAAAACACTTTCCTCTGGGTCTTTTGATCAAAGTCCTAGTCAAGGACTGGGAGAAAAGAGGCTGAAATTAAGCCCGCAGGAAGGCACTTTATGGGGCGGGGCTAAAGCAGGGGAATGGAGAACTCTTTAAATAGGAGGCGCACTGGCTGCCAGAGAGTGCACAGCACAGAGCGAATAAGGAGCCAAGCTGATAGCTGCCTTCCACAGTCCCCTCCTCCGCCTGTCTGCCAGGAGCAAGCCAAGGGAGATGATGGAGCCCCAGGAATACCGAGCCAGAGGTGAGTGATGGGTACCCTGTGCGTCTTCCCTGATGGTAAGGCTGTGGGAACTGCCGCTGGGGCCAGGTGAGTGTTAGAACTGCTTTGGGAGAGCTGGCTTCAGCACTGTTTCTCCTGAACGGGACGGGATGGCGCAGGTCAGAGTTTCAAGGGGTCCCCGTTCTCTGACCCTCATGTACCCACTCTCATGTATGCTGCCTGTGACTTACATTTTGTTTCCTCTCTATCTGCCCACAAGATAAACTATTTGCATTTGTGATCCACTCCATTATCTTATGAAATAGAAAAAAAAAAATCCCAAATAGTCTCCAAGTGCCCCCTTGTGTACAGGCTTTCACGTAAAAGCAAGACCCAACAGTTACCCTGTCTTCAGGCCTGTCCGCAGAGGGAAATGGGGAGTTGCCGAAAGGGAATTCTTAGAAGGACACATCCAGCAAAGCCATTTGTGACTATGACTTTGGTCCCACATCTTTCATTTAGGACACATTAACCAAAAACAAAGGCTCTTGTAAAAGCCTATGTGACAAAAGAGAATTTTGAGTGTCTTGATAATTTTGTAATGTTTGCGTCTTCACACTGGGGCAGACTGCCTAGAATTTCTTGGCTGTAAGGTAACATCCTGTCTTAATCTAACCTTTCCTCTCGGCTCCCCTAGCGATAAGTGGCTGTCAACCTTTGATGCAGTGGGAATCAGAGTACCACGCTGCCTTTCAGTGGTGTGCTTGGCTGAGAGCCAGCGAGGGTCCTTATCCTGCGGTGGAACACACACTCCTTTGAGACTCCCTGGACGAGTGGCAGCTCTCTTATGTCTGATGGGCACCACTGCTGGGTGCCCAAGGCCGTGGAGGGCTGAAGGAGTCCAGTCCCCTGACTCCTCAGTTTTGTCTAGGCCTGGTTCTGTGTGTAGGAACTTCGCATAAGCAGATGAAGAGAGACTAAGTCGGGCTCCTTTTCTTCTCTGCTCGATTTCTCCTTTG